TTCACATGGATTCCCAACTCCTGCCTCTCTGTGCTTAGAGTTTTTCTTACATTATGGTGGGAAAACCCATGTATTTCTCATGGATGCCTGAATTAAGTTTTGGACTTCTTGTCACTGAAAATGTTTTCTTCAGTTTAAATCCCATTTTCTTCATAACTTTAAATACTTCAAAGTTTCTTCTTCATCTTTCTTTGGTTGCTTCAATTGAAATTCGATGGTAAGATTAAGGAAACACATGAGTTCAGTTTGCCACCATTAGAGGTAGTTTTCCTGTAAATTATGAAAAAATTTCTCAAGTCCCTTTCCAAGTACCACTTCTGCTGTTAACTTCTCCAATTATTTTAATTTTAATTCTATTTCTGTAATTTTAATTTCCTTGCAATGTCCCATTATCTTGTTATCCTCCTCAAGTCAAGGCATTTTATTTTAGTCTCTTATTTTCTAAGATGACAAGAGTATTATTGTAGAAATATCTTCTGGTTCCTGTAAGAAATCATTTTCAGAAGTGTGATCCTCTCTGAGTATTTAGATTGATATTCTGTTTAGCCCTTGCACGTCACATGCAGGACTTTTCCCCTCTTTTCTACTTTACTCATTCCAGAACAAAGAAAATTTACTTAAAAAAAAAAAAAAAAAACAGTATTTTTGAATAACAGATTTGTGTTCACAGCACACGTAACAGAGTTGTTAGAAACCGCAGCACTGAACATCCATTATTCTCGGAGAGCTTGCTATAATCTCCCTTCCCTTTTATGTTTTACCTGTGAGGAGAAAATACACTATGGTCAGAACTCCAGCTGCAACACCCTCCCTCCCCCAGTCTCCTACATACATATCCCCACAAGCACTGTTTCCACCCTTTTTTGTCATCTGGAAATTGTCGTCTCTAAGTATGGAGAGATGAGAATGAAGCACAGAAATAATCTCTGATTACTTCAAAAATCAGTACTACATAGTAAAGAATTGGCTGCATGTTCCCTGATTCTATGAAAAACAGGGTGGATAGTAGAGGGTTGTGTTTGTTTTTCTGTTAACTGTTGGGGAAAACAAGACTACTGTTTCTTAAAGTGGTACATGGGTATTCCTTACTGCTTTTCTTAATGTAGCTTGCTCTTAGTGACCTCTCTTTCATTAGTTTTCAGGGTCATTGTGGACATTATCAGTGTCTTTTGAAATATTTATTGAAAAGTTGGAATAAGCTGTATAAGAATTTGCTATTTACAGACATTTTAATTCCATCTATTAAAATAACAATCTGATCACTGAGGAAATAGGTGTAGAAGTTTAAGGAGAACCTAGGAAAACTGTCTTGCATAGTTACTACCTTGAATGCTGATGTTCTTAATCTCTTTAGAAGCATTAATATGTCTAATGCTTTCTGTGTAGTCCCTGATCATTATATTTAGTTGATTTATATTGGACTGCGAGTCAGGCTAGCTTAAATCCAGTCCAGGATCTGGTACTCTTCAGTTATGTGCGGTGTTGCAAATTAATTTTGAAAGTTAAAAAAATTAAGTAACTATGTTATTTTAGACAAGTCACTAAACCTCTGCCTTAGATTCTTATTTACAAAACCAGGGGACAATCTGTAATAGCTATAAATTGCTTTGTAGGTGCTTAATTTCTTGGCATTGTAAAATCAAGTCAATGTACTGGTAATCTGTGTACTATAATGAGGTCACAAAGAAGCTAGTGCTGTATTATAATTAGGCTTTCAATTTGCCTGCCATTGACTATCCAATTTGAATTCTTCAAATTCAAATCCAGTTTGAATTCTTCTCTTAACATGCTTTAATTTTCAGTTTTGATTTCTCACAAATTCTAGCTTATAAGGATTAATGCTTCTGTTCTGTTTTAGAAAAGCATTTTCTCTTATAGACAATTTTGCAATCAGTAGTATTGATTAAAAATAGTGTGTTTGTGGCAACAGCATTCTTCTACCATAGGTGGCTGACACTGATGGATCTTTTTCAATCCATACTTCAGTGAGGGTACCCTAGGTTAGATACAGTTTTTCAGACTTATAAGAGAACAGGAGAACTAGAACCTTAGACCATGAGCTATATTCAGGGGAAAAGAAGTTTCATGATCCATAAGACCGCCCTCGCCTGTACTTGACCTTATTGTGAAGTATGAATGATGAGTACTCTGGGAAATCCCTCATTGCTCATTTTGGAGGAATATCGGAACTTCTCCCTTCTGTCACTCTAGAACATTATAGAAAGTTATCAAACTCAAATCATTTAATTTTGAAGGAATAGGAAAAGGCTGAGCAAAGGAGAGAAAGTACTAAATTTAATCTCTTTTCTTAATAAAAAATATAATAAGTTACCTTTCATAATAGGCTTCCATTAATACCTCATTGACCAAACCTACATTATATGGCTGCTCCCAGCTTCAAGGGAATCTGAGGAGGTATTTTTTAAAAATCGAATTTATTGAGGTATAATTTACATACAATAAAATCCACACTTTTTTATGTATACAGATTTATGATCTTTGACAGCTGTATATACCCATGTAATCACTACTACCCCATTCAAGATAAAGAACGTCCATCTTGAGGAGGCAACTTTAAGCATTTCACCATCTTGAACAAAATTGAGGTCCTGTTAGGAAGGAGAGAGAGAATATTAAGTAAGCAATAGGCTGTGTCTGTCACATGAATGTTAAATATAGAAAATTGCAAAAAGAAAATACTCATAGGTGGGAGAAGACTTAAGGTACAGTTAACCTAGCTTAAAACGTGAACTTGGGCAAGTCTCCCAGATCTACTGATGTCTCAATTTCTCAATTTAAAAAAAAAAAAAAGTTTTAAAAAAGCTCTTGAATGTATCAAAAATTGTTGTGAAGATCAAATGAGATAATTTATATGAATGCATATTGAGATCTTTAAGGCCCTACTCAGATATAAAGAATTATCTTTATTTTTCCTATGATCAAAGATGTTTCCTTTTGAAAATGATGATGAACTTGATTTATTAGCCTAAAATATCAAAATTATTCAGTTAAAATATACTTATAAAATATACTGTCTCTTTATTAATGGCCTGTAAATCATGGCAATAAGCAGCTCAAGGCAGGAGAATTTTAAACTTGCATTCTTAGCAGTTCTCTTTCCAACCATATCTGCTGTCAATTCTGACTCATGGCGACCCTATGTGTTATAGAGTAGAACTCCATTTCTTGGCTGTAATCTTAATAGAAGCACGTAGCCAGGCCTTTTTTTCTAGCATTTTAGAAGAACACTATTTGTTCTCTACTTTGAAATTTACCACTTGGAATCAGTTGTAAAAAGTTAAACCAAAACCTATTGTGAGATTTTGGGGGCACTCTGTAGAACTAGAGCCGTTGATTGCTTGCTATACAGGATCTGTGGAGAAGTGTGATTGTTTGTAGTATTTATTACTCTGAGAGGTTTGTTAGAACCCTACTCCAAAATCAAACATCTTGCCAAAATGAGATCCTTTCCTGTAGACTTTCATCATAATCTGTGTCAACCAATACTAGTCTTCATTAAAAACACATATATCTGGTAATCCAGAACACTCATTTCCTATCTTTTTTTTTTTTATTTAAAAATTAATTAATTATTATTTTCCATTAAAGTCTGTCATTTTATTCATCATATTTCCAGGTTGGATTCAGCACTGGCTTTGTTGGTCCTTGGGGAGGCTGCCAAATTAAACATGGTCTGCCTGAAAGCTTTAATGGATCTAGTAAGAGATTTTATTTCAAGCATTATGTCTCCTCAGAATCAGGTAAGAGAGTTACTAACTTAGCCATTAAAAGAGGCCTGGATAGAAATAAAATTTATTTCTGCCACTGTTTAAATTGCATATAATATTAGGACATATGATGAGTGAAACTTTATAATATAATTTTAATTGAGTATAAATTAAATGCACATTATGGAAATTTAAAAAATTAGGTATTTTTAAAAGATAATTTACCTTTCAGTCCCAGTTTGTATGTGTATAGAGAGGGACTAAATTTTATTTACAAACTTGAGATCATATAGTGCTATATAGCTTTTCTCTTCTTTTAAAGATACATTGTAAACATTTTTATTGCCATTAAATATTATTAAAAATAATTTATTTCACAATTTCTGTGTTGTAGAATATTGAGTTTGTTTACAATTTTCATAGTTAATTACAAATAATGTTCAACTGATATCTTCATACATAAAATGTTTAACTACATTTCTGATTATCCCTTTAGAATAGATTCATAAAATCAAATTACTAAGTGGAAGACTGAAGTTTCCTTTAAGGTCCTTAGGACAGATGTCTAAGTTACTCTTCAGAAGATATTATTTTCTTACATTCCTATGAAAAATGTATGAAACTGCCATATACCTGAATTCAGCTTTATCAAACAGATTCTTTTTCAATATAATATGGGAAATAGTATCTCATTATATTAATTTACATTCCATTGATTACTAGGGAAGTAGAAAAGTTGTTTGTTATGTACTAAGTAGCTATTTATATTCTTTATTCTTTGAACTGAATTTTTATTCAAACTACTCATGGAAAACCTATTTTTTAATAAGTATGTTTTAGGAATATTAGTTTATTACAGGGTTTAGCAACTCCATAAAATTTAAATGCATTTCTTATTACAAGTACACGATATAATTCTTAATTATGACAGAATGTACTTTGATTATCTAAGAGCTATTTTCTCATTTCAGGAAGAAAGCTACAAGGTCAATGATTTTTCCTGGGCTTGGAATATAGTCTACATATATATAACAGTTCTTGCAGAAATCTGCTTATATGCAGCCACTTCTGATTTGAGAAAAACTGTTTTTATCGGTTTTTGTGGCTGTAAAGGTTCACAAGAAAATATTTTACTCAAAGACACCAAATCAGAAGACGAACCAATATTAAGGGAAGCGAGTGTTTTAGGCCTTTTGAAATATTTTTCTTCAAAAATATCAGAAAATTGTAAGTGAGGCATTTTTTTCAACTTGACGAATAATATTTTTAAAATATCCCTATTTACATATAGAATAAGCCTTTTTAAAAGTTAAATTTTCAGAGTGGAACCAATTTTAAATTTAATAGGACTTCCTAAAAATTTAAAAATGAATATTTTATAACATGGATTTTAAAAAATAATTTTAAAACCTCTGAAATATAAACTAGATTCAGTTGATTTATGATTCAAATTATATTCCTTGAAAACAAGAGATGACTTTAAGAAAACTTGTGAAAAATAAAATTTGCTTTTTCTTATTTTTTGTTCTTTTTCCCATAAGGGCTTCTTCCCTTCTGTCCTCCTTTTACTCTAATCATCTGCTATTTCCCCCTTGTTCTCTTCCCGCCCAGAGGATTTTTCGGAAATCGTTCACTGAAATATTGTGTTGCATTCTTTACACTTGCCACAACAGCAAAGAAAATAGATAGTTTCAAAATTAGTATCACCTGCAGGCTTTCTCAGCATTGATTACCAGGGCGGATGGGGCTGCATTTTTGGAACGTGATATAAAGAACCTGGAGCTGCTGCTTTGTTTAATTGATAATTTTTTCTCATAATTTTACTCTTCAAGTTAACTAATGACTTTGTATAGAGTGAAAGAACCAGCTCTGGATTCACACAGACCTGTATTTTAATTCAAATTCACTAGTATCTTGGAATCTTAGATCAAAGTTTTTAATCTTGCAGAGACTTGCTTTCTTTACCTAATAATTATGATAAGAATATTATCCATATCATAGAGATTTATGTATGGAAACATATAAACACTTAGCATAGTACCTGGTGCATACTAAAGTTCCAATAAATAGATGTTATGGTTGTTAAGGTAATTGTTAATGTTATTATTACAATAAGAAAGCATCAGTTAGTTGGTAAGAATAAATTTTTCTAATATTTATTCTTACGACTAACGTATATCCTGAGAATCCTTAGTTTATTTCTATATAAAGATATAAATAGTACTGAAAACATTTAAAAAATGGTTGAAGGATGAAGAAACAATTTAAACCATAGTTTAGATAAGGTATTGTTATGGGAAATTAATGACTTCCATAAAGATAATTTCTTGGTGGTCTTATCTAATATCGGAGCAGAACTTGAAGAATCTAGAAGAATAATTGGCTACTTATCTTGTTCCTTTTTCACTCTGAGATTTTGTGTCAGACAAGATTTTCTTAGAGTCAAATGTCTAGTAATTCAAGAATGAGGTCTCTGGCCAGTAAATGAAGTGTTAAGTTTTTGTGGTTTTTATTGAATATAAATTTCTGTGTCTGCTTATAAATACAAAATAATGCATTTAACGGTTCACCTTAAAGAGTCTGACTTGCATTATTCCTTTAATGGATGACCATCCTACACACTTCCCAATGGAGTTGAGCTGTAAGTAGGTTTGAATATTTTTTTTTGAAATGTCTTATCTCTTTTTTTTTCAAGGATTTGATAATCTTCAATGGTTTATGACCTGAAATAGAGTGAAATATATTTTTGAATTCTTTCAGAATCAAAAAGACTAACATTTCTCATTAAAGTGATTTTAATGCAAATCAATTTATGAATCCTATTTTGACATAACTAATAGTGGGAGTAGCTGTCCTGGGCCCATAAATATATTAGAATAGTAATGACATAGCTTAGGTTTGAATATTTTCATGTGCCTGAAACACAAAATTTTGCCCCTATAAGAGATTATTTTGAGCTGGAAATATATAAGGAAAAGTGATAAAAAATAATTTTCTTAAAAACACACAGAATTTTTGCTTTGTTGTTGTTAGTTGCTGTCAAGTCAATTCTGACTCATGGCGACCCTATGTGTTATAGAGTAGAACTCCATTTCTTGGCTGTAATCTTAATAGAAGCACGTAGCCAGGCCTTTTTTTCTGTGGTAGTGCTAGGTGGGTTCAAACTGCAAACCTTCAGGTTAACAGTCCATTGCAAACCAATCCCTGTTGAAATTCTGGTTTTGAGAAACACTTTGCCTTGGTGGCTTATAGAGGATAATAATAGCTAATATTTTTTGAGCACTTATTTTGCACTTAACATAACTCATTTAACTAACTTATTAAGCATTATAACAAGACTACATCATAGATGTTCATATTACCCCCATTTTATATATGAGAAAACTGAGGCACTAAGAGTTTATTTGCCCAAGGAAATATAGTTAGATAATGGTAGATCAGAGGCTTAACTCAGGCAGTTTAGCTTCAGAGTCCAAACTGGTAACCACCTTGCTATACTGGACTTACTAGATTAGTTGACCCATTGGGTGGAAGTTTTTAGAATTATGCATCTACATATTGAAGAATGTGAAAAAGGTGACTTTGAGAAGTTCTTTCTGATAGTCATTAACCTATAGCAGTGTTTGTGAAACCATGGTCACAGACTGGATCATCTGGGGTCCTTGTTTAAAAAGTAAATTCCTGGGCCCTGTTCTACAACTACTGAGCAGATATTCTAAAAGTGGAATCCAAGAATCTGTATTATTGAACCACTTCCCACATCATAGTTTTAGAAAACCTAGCCCATAATTTAGCTGTTAAAAAGTTAGTAAAATATTGTTCTCATCATAGAAGAAAATATTTCTTTTACTTGTTGTTACAAACCTATATGAATCCAGCCAGTTTGTATTTATATTAGATGGTTTATATATAACTTTATAACTTTGGAGCCCTGGTGACTCAGTGTTAATAGTGGGGCTGCAAAACGAAAGGTCTGCAGTTCGAATCCACCAGTCACTCATTGGAAACCCCATGGGGCAGTTCTACTCTGTCCTATAGGGTCGCTATGAGTTGGAATTGACTCGATGGCAACAGATTTGATTTTTGGTTATATATAACTTTTACAAAAAAGGGAGACATAGCTTTGTGTTGTAACCTTTAAATTTGAAATGCCATCTCCTATGTTCTTTGGCTGGAGCAAATTTGTTGGTTTTCACAGTGGTAAAAAAGATAGACTTTGAAGAAGGCTTGATTATCTGGAGTATGTGTTGTGGTAATAAAACTCACTTGGAGTCACCATGAGTTGGAATAGACTCCCCGGCAACTGGTTTGGTTTTGGTTTATAGTGTGTTCTATGAAAAACCAACAGACACTCATTTGGTGTGCCTTGCATAAGAGAGTAGAATGTTTAGATATAGATAATGAATCATAAAACCAAGAATATCTTAGAGTAGTATGAAATCTTGTAAATCATGTAGCTGTCATCTAATGCACAGATATCTTTGAAGCCATTTCCAAATAGTGGCTAGTCAGATTCTGCTTGAAATGTAACAGAGGTGTGGAACACTCATCTTCCAATCATGCCGTTCCATTTTTGGACACTGTGAAAGATTCTTCTTTATTAAGCTGGTATCTTTCTTTCTGTATCTTCCAAACAGGGACTTAAGTTTTCACTTGGAAGCAAAAAAAAAAGTATAATCCTTTTCCCACATGCAATCCCTTCAAATATTTTAAGATAACTACATTGGCTTACCTTCTCCCATCTCTCTGCTTACTGCCAAATACCTGTTATAATTTTTTGGTGTACATGAAAAGCACATTTTTAATATGGTTTAGAATTAACTTTTCAGGTTTACTGGAAGTTTGTTATATTGGTTTCTTTGTCTGGATTTATAATAATTTCTTCCATTGTTACAAGATAATGTGAAGACACATGGGACCTAAGTACATGTTATCTATGGATGGGAAAAGTGAATATGACACTTTCTTTCATTCTTTTGTTGAAAATGATTTTCCTTAACTGGTTATACATTGATAGTAGCAAATGAAATCTATGTCACAATTGTAAAATAACTCTGTGTGCTTCATTCTGATTCATTTTAACATAGGAAAAACATTAGCACAGAGCAATAATTCCTCTTTAGAAAATAAATGAAAGTTAATTGGAATCTTAGAACCAATTAAAACTTTTAATGATACTCTATTAAATCTTCAATATACCTCTTACCTTGGTGAAGGTTATTCAAAAAACTATTTAGTAATATGATTGTATTTTTTATGCATGGAAAATATTTAACTCCTTTATAAAATCCATATACATGTTAGCAATTGAGGCATTCCTCAAAGTTTATAACGTAGTATACTGACATCTAAAAGTATAGTACTACTGATCATATTATATACATATCAGGAAATTAAACAAATGCTCCTCTTCATCTTTTTTTTCTATTTTACTTTTTTAAAACAGCTTTATTGAGATATGACTGATACACATATTTAAAGTGTATAATTTGATAAATTTTGACATATGTATATACCCATGAAATCATCACCAAAATAAAGATAACAAAAATATACATCACTCTCAAAAGTTTCTTCATGCACCTTCATATCCCTCCCTTCCATCCATCCCTCCCATCCTTCCCTATCACCCACCCTACGTTATCCCCAGGAACCACTGACCTGCTTTCTGTCACTATAGAGTAGTTTGTATTTTCTAGAGTTTTAAAGAAATTGAATCATTTATATAAATGATGTTTTGGTCTGATTCCTTTCACGCAACATAATTATTTTCAAAGTCACTCATGCTGTAGTATATATCAATAGTTCATTGCTTTTATTGCTCAGTTTAGTGCATTGTATAGATATACCACAATTTGTCTATCAGTTCACTTGTTGATAGGCATGCGGTTTATTTCCATGGTTTGGCTTTTACAGATAGAGCTGTTATGAATATTCATGTGCAAGTCTTTGTATGACATATGCTCTGTGCTTCCATTTGGATAGTTTCTATTGTTAAGCCTTTCGTTTCACTGTCTTTTCTTTTGCAATGTCTAATCTGCTGTTAATCCCACCCAGTGTATTTTTCATTTCACACATTGTAGTTTTCATCCTTAGAAGAGTGATCTACAAATTAGGGCCTCTGAGCCAAATTTGGTTTGCCACTTGGTTTTTGTAAATAAAATATTGGGCACAGCCATGCCCATTTGTTTGCATGTTATCTGTGGCTGCTTTTGTGCTAAAATGAC